ATTTCTGAATCATTTATCTGTGAAGCACTGTAATTGAAACATGCAATATTTGTTAATCACTTTATTCATTTTGTTTCATACAAGTCAGTAGTATCTGACTTATCATACAATGTTTCAAATAAAGTGTGATGATGATGCATAAGTGCGAACATAGTAGAAACAACCATAGTGTGTTTTTTTGTGTTCTATTGTGTTATATCATGTTGTAAGACTTATAATTTAGATTTCTCAGGGCTCAGTTGGACTGATGATTTCCCAGGGTTCAGTTGGACTGATGATTTCCCAGGGTTCAGTTGGACTGATGATTTTTCCAGGGCTAAGTTGGACTGATGATTTCCCAGGGCTAAGTTGGACTGATGATTTCCCAGGGTTCAGTTGGACTGATGATTTCCCAGGGTTCAGTTGAACTGTTGATTTCCCAGGGTTCAGTTGGACTGATGATTTCCCAGGGTTCAGTTGGACTGATGATTTCCCAGGGTTCAGTTGGACTGATGATTTCCCGGGGTTCAGTTGGACTGATGATTTCCCAGGGCTCAATTGGACTGATGATTTCCCAGGGCTCATTTGGACTGATGATTTCCCAGGGTTCAGTTGGACTGTTGATTTCTCAGGGCTCAGTTGGACTGTTGATTTCCCAGGGTTCAGTTGGACTGTTGATTTCCCAGGGTTCAGTTGGACTGATGATTTCCCAGGGTTCAGTTGGACAGATGATTTCCCAGGGTTCAGTTGGACTGTTGATTTCCCAGGGTTCAGTTGGACTGATGATTTCCCAGGGTTTAGCTCCATGGTTCTACAGGTTTTAGCTTGTATGTCAGACAATTTTAGGGACAAATTGTTTTTTAGCAGCCACCTCACATTATTATGAACAAGAAACCACAAATCATTCTCACTCTTCGAGTCTGCAATCATAACCTTGGATAAACATGTGATGACCCTTTCATTTCTAATTGCACTGAATGTCATATTTAAATTTAGCTTATTCTAAATTGCTGAAATTTCAGACAAATTCAATACATCACCATCAAGATTACCTTTTTTGAAAACTTTAAAATATGAGTAAAGTGGCTTAAAACCTTAAAAGAAAAAAAAGCTTGAGCAGGAACACTGTTTTCATGAAAATTTCTGGCCAAGAACAATCAGGTAAAATGACTGCATGAGGCTTTGCATTGATATCAATGACAATGGGGCTAAAAGTGAAAAAAAAAATACTCTTGATGAACTATAATGGCAGTATTAGGTTTGTTACTTACAACTGATTGTGATACCAAGTCCACCTTCCATCTTGGGTAACTTGACAATGAATGTACCACTGCTTGGAACAACTGATTCTATTAATACATAAAATAAATGAATTGTTTTCATTGTCTTTATTACCGGAATTATATGCAAGAATTAGTTAGTACATTTCAGTTAATCACATATACCCAATAATTAACATTAAACATTCGTCTTGAAATGGATGCATTGGTCGATTTCAACTATCAAAATAAAAATAAAAGAGCATTAGAGAATATTATAATAACCATCGTTACACATCTGTCACTGTAACGCCAAATTCAAAGTACTCAAGTAGTATTTTGTGCTGTGACAGACTTTAACAATTATTCACTCAAGAAATGTTATTATTTTAGCATTTGACCTCAGTTCAAAAAGGATCCCATGACACAGAGTGTGTCAGCAAATTTTGCAAAACTTTTCAAAATTCCTACCAGCAAATACTGTTTACAAAATAAGGAGAAAGAAATGGTTTGTGTTCATTTTTTAAAACCATTCACTGTTTGACATACAGTACAGATAAGGCGCAAGTTTTGACCTCACTTCATTGTCTGCTTCGCTTCAACATCGCATCATTATGGCATTGTTATGGCTTCAGCATCGCATCAATGTTGCTACCTGTTGAGATGATTATCACTTCTCTTCATTGTGGCCTCATTATGGCAACAATGTGTCATCAGCATCGCTTCATCAAACAAAGAAGTAATTTACATATGTAAACAATGCTGAGAAGTATCATAGTTAGCCGTATACGTATACACACAGATACTTTTTGCTGTCTTACAATGCTGAGAAGTATCATAGTCAGCCGTATATGTATTCACACAGATACTCTTTGCTGTCTTACAATGCTGAGAAGTATCGTAGTCAGCCGTATATGTATTCACACAGATACTCTTTGCTGTCTTACAATGCTGAGAAGTATCATAGTCAGCTGTATATGTATTCACACAGATACTCTTTACTTACGGCCACCTCCTCGCTCCAAACCATCTCGTCCAACGACAGAGCGCCCTCACCGCCCAAATTATCAAAGATTTCAAAACATCGCTCCAGAAAGTCAAGATAGCGACAATGTGTTTTCAAAATTCATGAAATTTATAGACTTTGTGAACTCATTCTAAGTCGAAAGCCAATGTACAAGTAAATGACATGACAAGGTATTTCATCTATCATACTTTTTTTAGATATATACATAGGAAAGTTTTTCTTCATTGCCCCAAGTTACTAACTAAATATTCACTGTAGTACTTACCAATCGTTTTTTTTTCTTCAAATTTTAATTTGTTACCATTGTTTTTTTATCAGCTGCATTTCCAGTTTATTCTTCTTTTTTTTTTATTTTTATTATATGCAGCTTACCTTTTTTCCTTTTTCCAACTGTTATTTACAAAATGTCTAACATCAGGCTGGGCAGTTGGAATATTAATGGCTTGAGCAACAAATCGCAAGATATTGATTTCAGAAAACACATCACGTCACTTGACATCGTGTGTGTTCAAGAAACATGGCTCAGCAGTTGCAGTAGTTTTAGTTTACCAGGTAGTTTAGATGATTTTGACATGATTCGCCATGACAGAAATGAATGTGTTAAAAACCCTAAAAAACAGAGGGGAGGGGTTGCTGTTTTATTTAGAAATAGGTATAAAAAACACCTCACTGAAATTAAAGGCTGTACAAATAACTTTATTTGGTGCAAAATCAACAAAGCAATACTCAATTCAGACAAACACCTATTTGTTGGTTGTATTTACATTCCCCCTGAAAATTCCTTTATTTATAAAAACAAAGATCTTGACCTATTTAGTCTCTTAGAAAAAGACATCTTAAAATTCTCATCTGAAGGTGACATCATCCTATTAGTGATTTTAATAGTAGAATTGGCAACTTAGATGATGTAGTCGATGACAGTAAAACCAGCATCTCCCCTACCAACTCATTATATCATGACATTTTCGGAAACGAAATAACATGGATGTA